AGTAATATGCCGAATGGGGAAGTGTGCGATTGGTGGAGAGACTTTTTCAACCAATACGGACTCGAGGCCACAATCCGCTCAACAGGCTGGCGCGCGGACGAACTGTCCGATTCAATTGTGGGCATTGTCAACGACATGAACTGCGCTTTGGAAACCACAACAACGGCAGAACCCGAAACCACGACGACCACTACCACTACTCCGACGACCACTACAACTACTCCGACGACCACTACAACTACTCCGACGACCACTACTACCACTCCGACGACCACTACTACTACTCCCACGACCACTACTACTACTCCGACGACCACTACCACCACTCCGACGACGACCACCACAACCACAACCACCCCAGGCACGACGAGGCCGAAGACCACTGCCACCACAATCACTGCCACTACATCAGCACCCGCTAAGAACAACACGGCAGTGGTGGTGGGTAGCGCCTCCGCTGGTGGCCTGGCGCTCTTGTTGGGCGGCCTTGGTGCGTACCGACAGCTGGGCGGTGGACCTGCCGCTCTGGAGGTCGAGGAGGAAGAGGTAGGGGGTGGCTACGACGAGGATATGCAGCGAGAGGCGGTTGTCGGTGTCGACGAACATCAGTTTACCTAGATTTGTTTTCCATCGGCCTCGCGTAGCGAGCTCACAGATCTGCTAACTATTCGTAGCTTGAGTCGGGCTGGCCAGCTCATGCTGCCACTCCTTCGCCCCACGTGGAGGTAAGACCCAGGGAGGCAAGCACTCCCTTCGGCGAAGGCGAGTCAGGTAATTCATATAGGCAATACCACTACTGCCTCCATTATTATTACTACTATACCTCGCACTACGCACGCTAATATCTCGACGCATACTTGCTGGTTCCGTACTTTCTGATTGTATACAATACATACATGCGTTCCCCCCCCTCCCTGACCCCCCCCCCCTCCCCCCCAGTAAATGTGTTACGTGTGAATTTTGACTATGAACCAAGTCTTGAAGTCGACGTTGCTTATTGCCGGGCTTGCAATAGCAAGCGATGAGCGTCAATGCCTTGGCACTCCCGTGAGAGTGTGGATCCATCAAGGATGGCGGAAGACGTATTTCAAATATATTCAGGAGAATCCCGACACCTACTTGCAGTGGACGGAAGAACTCAAGGAAGCCATCCCAGATTTCGACTTCGGTCTCTCGACGTTTATGGATCGGTATACCGACTGTACCGTGCCGTTCGGAACGTTCCGTAATGTGCTTACATGGGAGGAGAAAAAGGACCAGGTTCGGGATGGTCTAACGTCACGAAGCCAGAAACCTTCCATTTATGATGATGAGCCGGAAGACTCTTTGACTGCTATCCCCTACCTTTTTGAGCAGTACATTAAGCCGGATACGGGGTCAGAACTCAAGCTCTTCATCATAGTGACGGACGACTACGGAAAATACCACGGAATGGAATCGAACCACCCCCTTTCCTCTAGGCTGGAAGGAAGTTTGGTGTGGTCGGATATTTGGACTGAACAGCTTTGCGATCCCATATACCAATATCTTGACCCTTCCACGTTCATTCCGGAACTGAAGAAGCAGAATCTCCACATGGGAGTAATATGCCGAATGGGGGAAGTGTGCGATTGGTGGAGAGACTTTTTCAACCAATACGGACTCGAGGCCACAATCCGCTCAACAGGCTGGCGCGCGGACGAACTGTCCGATTCAATTGTGGGCATTGTCAACGACATGAACTGCGCGTTGGAAACCACAACAACGGCAGAACCC